CACTTTTCCAGCAATGTAGAAAACCCTTTCAACGGAAGCAGAAGATGCAGGTACAGCCGAATTTTTCTGAGCCATTTTATTTAAGGCAAGCAGAGTATATCTGTGTTCTTTCCAAAATGCCAACACATCAGTGTCATATGCCCTGCACATGGCACTACAGCATGTTACCAATTGAGAAAATACTACATAATTATGCTTCTTTACCCTATATTACTCAACAATATCATAACACTCAATATACGTATTTACCAAAAAGTATCATCAGAAAGTTCGCTAGAATCTATTCACAGTATATATTATAACTTTTTCATAAATATAACGTAATTGTTTGTACTTGGTATTTTTTCAGGTACATTGGGTCTAAGTACAAGTACAAGTGCCATTGAATTTTTAAACTCCAAGTACAATTAAAAGTCCAAGTACATGTACTTGGACTTGGTGAATTGCGTAAATATGAGTTAACGATTTAGATAAGTGTACAGAAGAAGGGATGAAGAAGAGAAGAAAAAATTAAAAGAAGAAAAGACCTTGCAAAATTAGTTGAGGCGAGGGCTGAGGTCCAAGGTAGGGGTGATCCCCATGACAACAATGAGCTTGGGAGGGGGAGGGGGAGGGATAGGCATGTTTTTGGATCATGATTAGAAAAAATTAAATGGCCTCAAGAATTTCTGAAAGGGTTGGTTAATGGTTGATAGTTAAAAACACTTTAATGAGCTAAACATCAAGATCAAATAGCACTAAAGGGAGTTGGTTGGGGACATACTATGAGAGCCACCGCGATTGGCACATGTGCATAATTGTGCAGAGCAGTGCAGAGGAAGAAGGGAGTCAGTATATGTTTTAAGACAAAAGGAGTGCGTACAGTTCTGTAGTAGGGACACTGGATTCAGGAGGGAGGGGGTTTTGAAAGTGCGAGTTGGGAAGGTTACAGTGAAACCAGCATTTGGAGGTAGATTTGGAGCCATCAGCGTAAACATGAATACTGGAGGAATGAATGGAGACATGGTCAAGGAAATGAGAAGGACAACAGGGGTAATATTTGATATTGGTGGGTCAGGGAAAATAGAGGAACAAATACGGGGTAAAGTATAAGCCATGGAGGGACAGAATGGACAGAAAACGGAAGAGGTCGGAGATGGGGATAAGGGGAATGGGAGAGGAGGGTATCCATGCGAATAGAGATAGGAGTAAGTAAACAAGGAGAAGAAGCAAAGGTAGGAAGTAAGGATCGTGGCATTCATAATCGAGAGTGGAGAGGATCAAGGTAACATGAAGACGGAGAGTTTTGCGATCTGTGTCCCAGGATATATGGGACAGAGTTTGTAAGATTCAGAGACGGCGGTGAGCTTTCTCTTTGAAAGGACAATTTGTAGTCAAAAAACAAAACAAGGAATTCGCTTGAGGAATGATATTGGGGCCGAGTGCCATATAAGAAGAGTGGAGGTTGGGGACCTACGCGTGCACGAGAGAAAAGGATGGAGAAAGATTTGGAGGTAGGAAAAGTGGAAGCCATGGTTAGGGACCCAGGAAGACACTGATGATATTGCAGACTGAAGGAATTGGCGATGATTTGGTATGGATGTGCCAGAGGCGAAGATGGTTAGATCATCAACATATAGTGATGATCGGGCTCCTGGTGATAGAAATGAGACAATGTCATTAACAACAAGAAGGAATAAAGTGGAGCTGAGCACACTGCCTTGTGAGACGCCTTCGAACTGAGGAAAGATGGATGATGTGGAAGAGGCTATTTTGACCTGGAAAGTGCGTTTGCAGAGGAAAGACCTTATAAAGACACTCATGTTTCCACGTATGCCTAGGGAGGACAGTTGTTGGAGAATATGATACCGCTATGTGGTATCATACGGTTTTTCTAGGTCAAAGAATGTGGCTAATATGGATTCATGGCGTGCAAATGCAGATGTAATATATGTCTCGAAATGAGCAAGGGTGCCAGCTGTACTTCGGACACGGCGGAAACCAAACTGGGAAGGAGAGAGAAGTTTGTAAGATTCAAGATATCACTTTAAGTGGAAGTTAACCATTCGCTCTAGTAGTTTGCACAAGCAGCTAGTTAGAGCGATGGGGTGGTAATCTTGAGGGAGGGTACCCGATTTATTGGCCTTCGTGAGTGTTGTGGAAAGACTGTAAGGCAGCAATGAGTTTAGAGGAAGAAAAAAGACTCAGCAGAGGATAGGGTGAAGATAATAGGGTCTTAATAAAAGTGTGGAGAAAGGTGAGAACCACTACTGATCTGGCTGAAATAGTTACCCGGTTCATTAGCTACTTGGAGAGGATCAGAGATGAGAGTATCTCGAATATGGAGGACGGAGGCTGGATGGGGGATGTTTGCCTGAATTTATGGATCTGGCGCCATACAGTTGATACATATGTAGATGTAATTGGGGAAACATAATTTCGCCAGCTATTTGTCTTATTGTTCCAGATTGTACAACGAAGACAGGTGGATGCTCTTTTAAACTAGATAAGGACTGATAGTTGATTAGGGGTGCCTCGTTTGTAGCGGTTATTGTTCCAGGCTGCACGTCTTAAGCGAAGCGCTTTAGTGCAATCGGAATTCCACCACAGAACACATTTGAGGGTATAAGGTCTTGAGGTTCGAGGAATGGCTGTATAGGGAATAGCAGAGAGTGAAGTGGAAGTACGTCAGTCGGCTCTTTCAAAGCACTAGCGTGGGGAGGTAGGAAATGGTACATATGAAATAGGAGAAAGGAGAAAGGAGAAACTGGAAAGTGGGAATGTAGTCTAGAACTGACCAATGGAAATCTAAATGAAGAGAAGGGGAGCATAGACAGAGCTCAATGCATGAAAAAGATTGCGTGTTTATGCCAAAGTGTGTGGGGCGATCTGAATTAAGAATGATAAGGTCAGTTGTGGAGAGGAAGGGTTCTAGGGATCGGCCACGGGAGTTGGTGATAGACTCATCCCAGAGTGTAGCGGCAGTTAAAACCGCCAACTATGAGGAAAGGTGGTTGGAGTTGGGAAATTAGATTTTCAAAGGCAACAAAGTCAGTGGACTGGGAAGGGGAGAAATTGATTGAAATTTCTATGTTCCAGCGGCGAAGAAAGATACGAATAACTGCAAGGGGCAGTGGTTTGAAAGGAAGGTATGACAAAAGGTGTTCTCTGATTGATAAGTATAGACATAAAGGGAGTGTGAGGAAGAGACAAAATGGTAATTGGAAATTGTTATAGGAGGGTGTGTAAGAGAAGTCTCTTGAAGGCAGATAATATATGGGTTATAAGAGGGAAGGATATGACGAAGGTCAGGTGAGGGGGAATATGAGTAGGAGGAGGATAGATATCGGCAGTCATTAAGTGTGGACTCGAGTAGATAGTTTTGAATACTTTCAAGAGTTTCTGTAAAAGAGTTGGTTGGGGAGTTTTGAGAGACAAAGGGTTTTTTTATGGGGGGGAGGGGGAGGAGGAGACTAGTATCTGAGGAGTAGAGGTAAAGGTAGGTGGAGGTGAGTGTGTGGTAGGAGAAGAAGGGGTGGAATGTTTAGTCTACCTGCTACGGGTAGTGTGAGGAGGGAGAGGGGAAGGTGTTGAGATTGGAGTGTCTGGATTTAGAATGGCAAAAGAGTTTGACTGGGGATGGTAGGAGGTGTAAGTGGGGAAGTAAGAGGTTGCTGGAGTAGGGAGTAAGAGAAAAGCCTCGTCGACGTGCTTCCTGACTTTCTTCACATAGAATGAGTCCATTTCTGAAACTGAGAGTTGCCACCTCAGACTCAGATTTGTAGGTGGGGCAGCCCCTATAAAATACATTGTGGGGGCCGCCACGATTATTACATATGCGTGACTTTGCAGAGCAATTTGATCGAGTATGAACAGGTTGGGCACATAGAGGGCATCTGCCTATGGAACGGCAATTTTTGGCAGGATGTCCTAAACGCCAACAATTTTGATACTGACGGGGAGGAGGTTGGTATGGTCGGACATGGGGGGATTCTCCACCAATGTAAACATTGAAGGGAAGGTCATGTCTACGGAAAGTAATATTGGTAATCTTAGTGGGGTTCTTACGATGACCTCTAGGAGGAATGGCATAGCACTGTACTTATATTGCATCATAGTCCGTGAGATAGGCTTTTTGTTATAGATGGAGCAGTTTGCTGGAGAGATAGAGACGGTGTTGAGGGTTGGATGAGGTTCTGCAAGAATGGGGTTACCCGAGAGATCAGCTAGAGTTGATAATGCTATAGCTTGGCTTTCAGATGTTACTAAGACAAAATTGGAAAGAGACTCTGCTTATTTGTTTTTTGGAGACATTGCTGGAAGAGAAGAGTGTTGTCGCTGTGGGAGGGATCACGAATAATCGGTCCAATTTGGCTGGGCTAAATAGAGTATGTAAGATATTTGTAGAGATGGGGTAGTAAAAGGACGGGGGTGTGTGGAAGAGGGAGCAGTGCTGAGGGAGGTAGCAGTATGGAGAGGTGGGCAATAAGGCTGTAAAGTAGTAATAAGGAAGGATGGGGTAGTTGATGAAGGTTATGTGTTGAGTGTTGACTCTAGCGGATAATGTACTAGTAGGCATTGTGGAGAGGGTAGTAGTTGCTGTGTTCGGAGGCGTGGTCAAAGAAGAGCCTGGGGTTGAGGAATCAGGAGTTTGTATTGGTGGAGCTATTTGATGAAGGGGCAAGTCTCATTGCCCTTAATAAGGGTATAACATTTTCCTTATTGACCTTTCATCCTTTCGACTCTCACACATTAGGAAGTGGATAGTAGAAGAGGTTGGGGAAGAGACAGAAACGAAAAAGCAGGAGGGGAAAAAAGACCATGCAAAAGAAGTTGAGTCAAGGGCTGTGTCCCGAGGCAGGGGAGTTCCCCAGCACTGGGTCCCAGTCTTCACCTCCTCAGCCCCCCTTCACACACACCCACACACCCACACTTTTATTAGTCTGTTTACATTATCTTTACCTTCCTTGTACACAATTTATTCATACATGCTATTGTAAATGATGAAGAAAACAACTGAAGTGTAAAGAATGACTTTATTTTGCTTAAAAAATATTCTGTAAGTGACAAAATACTTGGTATTTGTTCAAATGATCCAAAGAAAATATCTTAACAGTAAAACATATATAATGATACCATTATAATAAGCTATGTACAATGAACAAAAAATATAATAAAATGAAAATTTAATAAGAATGATAAGGATCTGTGAACTTAATACAGCAGTATCAAACTTATTCTTTTCTGTGCCATCACACAGTTACAGCTAACAGATAAAGCATAAAAACAAAAGGGAAGAGCAAGAAAGGGGAAAAAAGGAAATGATAGTTGTAATTTTACAGAGAAAAAGTTTCCAAGTAAACCATTACCAAGATGGATATTCAATAAAGCTCTAGAATCTTGGAATGTATTAATAAAAACAATAATGAAAATATACTCAAGTAAGTTATTTCCTCTATATACATCTATATAAAGTAGGAACTTCCATAATCTGGATAGCACCTTTGCAACATTCTTTTTAAATAAGACAATTCAGTAATAAGAACAAATACTAGGGGAAATACTACAGACACTGTACACATAAGAGAAGTGAATTTGTTCCCTTTTAAATGAAATTATACATTGGCAATGTAACATTTATCCGAGTATTAAAATTATTTTTGTGGGTGATACATGCAATACAAGGTTTCATTGATGAGTGTGCCACATTGCTTATGGAAATAACTAATGGATCTATCTGAGATACACTGAAGACAATAGTTTGAATCAATGCAGGTATCAAAAATATATATATAAAAAATCTCTATTTCCTTTAAAAGTTACAGTAATTAGCCTTTGTTGAAGCAAAACTCTCTTTTTCTTCTCCAGGGAAAGAATAATTTTAAAACTACTTTGTGCCTATTATCTTTGTTTATTTGATACCTAACTAGTCATTAGTTTTTCAACTGTATCAGTTTTAAGCTTTGCTACCTTATATTGACTTTATGTTAAAAACTTAAATTATCTGTTACCAGTTCATTTAACCTTATTTTCTCTCTCCATCCAAGATTTAGACACTTTTTTTTTGCAATAACAATATGTGACCTTAAAATATGTGACTATTCCCTTTATTTTCTGATTTCTTGCAAGATTTAAATAGGTAGTTTCACTACTTGGTGGAAGTAACTTCTGAACCAGGATCCATACATCTCTGAAGTCCTTAACCAATCAACATGGATGGCAAGAATACATGCCATGCCCACTGTAAGATAAGTTTATTTATTGTATTTACACATAGATGGCTCCATAAGTGCCCATTCACCAAGGAGCCAGTTATTAGTCCTACCTATCTCTCCTGCTTATCCTTTTCCTGGTCTTTTGGAAAAGGTATTTTGTATAAATTCATAGTTTTACATGTTACTAAGACTATATTAACAATTTAATAATCATAACATCAGTAACAATACTAACAGTGTTGATATCTATTGTATTAAGAGAAAAACACCTTTTCCTGCCAATTCAAGGAATGGGGAAATCAGGATCAGTCACTAGGGCGTACTAACAGACTCCTTGCTGAGCACTTGGAGCCATCTGTATATAACAAAATTCACAAAAACTACAGGGGACAGAACATAAATCCATGGTGATTGGGTTAAAGTTACATAAGCTTCTTTGTGATGCTAGTTTGTGCCCATCAACTTGTAGATTTCTATATCTATTAGCATTTTTTTTTTTCAGAAGCTTTAATATCCTATGTTGACTATGTGCTTCAAAACTTAAGTTACATGGGAGCAATTAATTTTACTTTGTTTTCTAATTTCTTGCAAGATATAATCACACTGTTTTGCTCGATTTCAGGTACTTCTTGTGTCTGAGGCAGTTTCTTTTAAGTAAATGTCCCACCTATGAATCAGGGGGGAGTGGGTATATGTTCCCCTTTGCATATGCTGTTGGGATAAGGTGGTTCCACTCCTCAGCAGGAAGGTACTTCTGAACTAAGACCTGTAAGTCCTCCTCTGAAGACACAAGCCCCTGACGTTTCATCAATTTCTTTACATCCTTGGCCTGTACTTCTTTTACTCCCCCTCTTGCTGCCACAAAGTTGGCGAGGTCTGAGCAACAGTTCTTCCAATACTCTTCACTCACCCTTAGCAGCTGGTCCAAGCCATCAGGAGTGAGCCTGCATTTAGCAAAGTGTGAGAACAGTTCTCTAGTTGCAGCTTTGGAGAGTCTCTTTGGGAGCTCCTTCTTTGTGTTCTTTTCAGCCTTGGGGCGTCTGAGGCCAACTTTCCTGGGTGTCGGAGGCTTGTTATACTTCAGAAGAGAAGCCAGACGTGGACCTTCTTGTCTAGTGGGGACTGGAGCCTGCATTGGCTTTTCTGCCAACTTCTGCAAGAACTCCTTCATTGTCATCTGCTTTGGGTTAGAGGCAACGCTGGCTTGTGTGGCCTTGCGGGTGCTGGATGTGCTCTCATTAGCCATTGATGTCCTCTGCACCTGCTTGTTCATAGCAGCCTGGGAGTCATCTAGATCTTGCTCCATTAAGGAAACCTCCCCATATTCTTCAATATCATTAGATGCATCTAAACTCTCATCTGCCATCTTTGCTTCCACTTCTGGCATCACACTTTTTCTTCTGAGAAGTGTTGGCAACAGGAATTCTTCTTCTTCATCACTCTCATCTGTCTGGCTTGCTGTTGCTGCTGGGGCGAGATCTGATGTTGCCACAATTTCTTTCACATATCCCTTTTGAGTCTGACCCTCCTTTCCTATCAGTTCTTCTACAGTGTCATCAGAAGCAGCTGCCTCTGTTGCCTCTTCCCTTCTGTTGGCTGTGCTTTGACTAGACATCTCTCTTATTGTCTCTGCCTCAGTCTTTTCTCTTTGGGGTGAAGCCAGTCTAGTCTCCTCACTTTCTAGCTCTTTTGGATCATTCTCTAATATCATGGGGTCATCACCTTCTCTGCTGTTGCTGTCTGCAATGGATGTAGCCCCGTCTAACTCTTCAACGTCTGCCTCTGCAGGAACATCCCCTGCATCAGTATTCTGAATTAGTTCTGGTGATCTACTCTTTGCCTTTGACTTGGGACTTGCCAAGCCCTCCTGAAGTTCTTCACTGATGCTTCCTACGGACTCCTGCTCTTCATGTGAATCTACAACAGGTAATATCCTCGGAGAGGCTCTTGTAGCTGCTTTAATGGCCTCTTCTGGGTGGACTTCAGCTTCAATGGTGACTGTGTGCATCTTAGCCCTTTGAGCAGCCATCTTTGATCTCCCTTCTTCAAATACTTTTTCCTCACTGGAGGTAGCATCGTTTGGCTGAGGGGAGCCTGGAGGTGGCAACTCCTTGCTCTTCTTTCGAGGGGTTCTCCTCATCATGTGCTCTGAAGGGGACTGAGTTTTGGGACTAGATAATCCATCTGGTGAGAGATTTGTGGTCTGGCTTTCATCTAGTCTTGTTAGTTTCACCTGAGCATTTTTCATCTCAAAATTTTTCCATGGACTGTCACTTTGCAAATCTTTATCTAAACTGTCTTTCAAAGAGAGCATCCCAACGCTTTTCCTCGGACTTTTACTATCCAAGCCCATCCCTGCGAGTCTCCCTGGAAATGAAGCAGGTAAACTTTTCCTTCCACTCTTTGGTAAAGAACGATCCCCTACAGTCTCCCCAACGAAAGAATGAGCCCCGGGCTCATTCTTTTTGCTCTCAGTCTGACCTTGAGATTCCAAGCTCGTCTCAGACAATCTGGCCTCTGTTTCTATAGATTTCTGAGGAGAATCTATCTTATCCGCTTGCATTCTCATGCTTTTCCGCAGTGGAGATGAAGCTGTATCTGAGACCCCAGCAGAACTCCTATTACGATCAGGAGATCCTTCTAGAGTAGAGATGGCGGCAGATATGTTACTCTCTACTTCCTTATCTTTGTCATCATCACTATCAAGACTAAAGCTTGTATGACCAATTTCTGATGCCTCATTGTTTTGGTGCTCCTCATCTATGTCACGGAAGCTTAGTGGGGGAGACAGCTGGTCAGGGTATTCTTCGTCTTTCTCAATTAGTTCCTTGGTTGTGGAATGAGCCTCAGCACTGGCATTACTCTCTTGTGTTTCTGGGATGGATGTCACCCCTCCCTCTGCCAGGTCCTCAAGCAAGTCCTCAGTGTTAGATGAATAACTGTTAGGCGTATCAACTCCCTGGCCCTCCCTCACTGACTCCTGGGTCTCGGGAATTAGAATAGCATCATCATCCTGGGTTTCTGGGATCACTCTGATAGCCTGAGAGGCTTGACTATCCTGCTCATCATTACTTTTCTCACTACTTGAATCCAAAGTAAGCATTATATGGCTAGCCTCATCCTCCGTGTCTTCCTCTTCTTGTAAAGCTGTGCTCTCAGTTTCTGAAGGCTGTTTCTCTTCCCTCTCTTTCTCCTCAACCTCATCCTCTACTGTCTCCAATTGTGACTTCTTCAAATTCTTCATGAGTTCAGTCAAATTTAACTCCACAGGTGGTGCTTTACGCCCAAACCTCCGCCTAGTTGCCGCCTTTACATTTTCTAGGCTCTCATCAGCATTGTCTATGTCGTAGGTATTGTCTAGGTGGGAAGCTGGCTGGCTTGATGGTATTGCTACAGGTGAATCTGGCATTTTTTCTTTTCCTTTCCCTTCGGGGGAGGCAAAACCTTCTGGTGACTTCCATTTGGGTGACTTATTTTTATACGAAGAGCTTTTTCCCTTCTTTGGTGTTATGAGGGGGGGTAAATTTGGGTCAGGCTGGGAGAGGACCACCTTCTCTCTCCTGCTAGGGTGGCGCATTTTCCTAGCAGCTTCAAGGTTGATGCTGTCATTGGAAGACTCTAGTAGGCTATCACTAATGTCCCCATAAGTTTTATCACTATGGAGGAAAACACTTGACTCCATCTTCCCTCCTGCCTTCTTTCCTGTGGCAGGCTTCTTGGCAACAACATTGGAGGACAATTCTGGCTGGGATGCAGACTCCAGAGGCTTGCTTCTCTTCTTACGGAACCGGGTGGCTTTCTCTAGGTTAATGCTCTCACTCAGAGAAGACTCATCACTATTGGCTGTGAGACTCAGGTCAGCATATGTCTGACTGGCTAAGCTTGTGCTTGACCTAAGACTCCTGCGCGACTGATTTGTAGAACTGGTCTTCTTCATAAGGGCATCAGATGGCAACTCTGGCTGAGATGCTGACTCCAGGGCTCTGGTTCTCTTCTTGCGGAACCTGGCAGCTGTTTCCAGATCAATGCTCTCATTGATGAAGGAGTCTCCACTGTCTGAAATGCTGAGGTCTGCATAGGTCTGGTTGGCTCCTTTGATATTGCTCACATTGAGGGATTGGTCCAGTGACCGCCTGGAGAGCTGCAGTCGTTGGCGAAGGACCTGCGTGTGCAGGTTTGTGGCCTCGGTATTACCTGGAAGGAATGGTGGACTCGTATGAGCAAAAGGACTTTTTGACATTCCTCTTTTGGTATTTTGTAGTTTATATATGAACTCATTATCTTAGGCACTATCTGTGTTGAGAGATGCAATCATTCAGAATCCTATCTTGGTAAATCTCTCCTGTAAAGCAACCTTTACTACGGTACTCTCCCCTAAATTTAGTCTCATTATTATTATTATTATTTTTTTTATTGGTTTCAAAACAGTGTTCAATTTTTCTAAACAATCTCTCTAATATACCAATCCTTCAATATCATATAAATCTTTAACAGTAACATTTGGAAGAAGTCTGCCCATACACTATGAATACACTTAATGTGAATAAAAAGGATAGGAACATGAAAATTGTATAAGAATCAATCAGATTTGCATGCCCTAAAATCAAGGCTACGCGGCAAAGGGCAAAGAACTTAGTAATGGTAGATTTTTTTTTTTTTCAAATTGATTAGCATTTTTTTAACACACATTTCATGAATTATGAAAAATTGTTCTACATCATTATTTAAACAACAGAACACACCAAATATAGCTTAAGGCACAATGTTTATTGAATTAGTAAAAACAAACAGTTTGAAATGAGCATAAATATTCAGCAAATGCTACATGTTGGTCTTAATCAGTTTCAACAAGTCCTAATGTGTCTTAAATTCTTGAAACAATTTCCTATCTCACCAGGCCCATAGGTGGACTTTGCATTTCATTGCACTGAAGAAGAATATCCCGTTTTTGCAATGGTGACATCATTGCTTCTTCTCCATAATCTTTGTCAAATGCCCAACATTGTCCAGTCTAATGTTGGATATTGGGGTTGGAGTTGTATGGCTTTTAGTAGTTTTTTCTTTGGAGGTTCGGAGTGGATGAAGGTCTCCCACACGTTTTTGCTATGGTGTTTTACCCCTTTATTAGAACTGTTGCGATAAATGACTGAAAGTAAGGATGTTTATTTTGACTTTTTGAAAAGTGACACCCTCTGAAGCAGTGTCCTGCGATCAGAAGCCATCCCATTTCAACAGCAAAGATGAAGACAGTAATAAAATGTGCATATAATAGTTTTTGTTGACCTTCAGCTGAATGCGATAAAGAAGATGTAACATATCACAAAGATCAACTCCACCCATATTGCACATTGTATTCTTCAACCAAGGTTGTTGGTAATTATTGTTCATCAATAGAATGTTTTTCTTCTTGCGGAACTTTCTTTCTTGCCGTTTTCCAGAATTGATCTATCATTGCTCTTACCTTTGAACAGCTGTCATGGTCAGCATCCCCTCTTGCTTCATTTTGCTATTGTCATTGAAATGCAAAGACTGCTTCACTTGTCAAAGCGGTTGACAAACGCCACGGCCTCTGCAATTTGCAGGTTACGTGTGCATTTGCCCAGTACACTTTGTATTGACTCACCCGTAAAATGGAGAGGTTTAATATTGGCTGATTTTCTTCAGCCATGTGTGTCTGAGACTAGGTAATTTTTTGGAAACGCATTGATTTTTTTTAAAATTTATTAATTAAAATAAAATAAATAATTGTTCAAATAAAAATGAAAAATTTTCTCAGATTAAACATATCACAAGAAAGCCTCATGTAATGGATTGTGTTGTTGTGAGTCTACGAGACCAACAACAATGTTTTGGGCCTAGTCTGATCACTTTTTTACCCTTGCCTGCATGATGTTGCTCAGAGCAACCATCCGAAAAAGCCGTCGGTAAAACAAGAAAATGACTAAACAAATAGAAACACCACTTTAATGCGATAGACAAGGAGCCATTACTCTACGAATTGAATTTTTTTTGGAATGAATTAGATTACCGGCCTGTGAAAAACTGGATAGAAAACCTGAACGATCACGAAATATTTGCTGCGAGCGCCTAGGCCAAACTTTAAGTCTGTGACTACCGAAAACTGCCAGAAAATGCTGTGCTCATCTTTTATACTTTTTTTGTGAAAGGTCTCTGTACACAGATGACTCTGCTAGTGCTTAGCCACTAAGGAGTCAATTAGTAGACCTTGTGACCTTACCTGATTTGAATTGGCGGGAAAAATTATTTTTTACTAGTGCTATGAATATCAGTGGTGTTATTTTTATT